TCTGATTTCCATTCCTGCACCGTGAGAAAATTGGCAGCTGTTTACAAAGGTCACACACAGAGCAGTGATGGACTGCGCATGTGTCGCCATCTAGGGGTGAATACACACTCTTGCACTTTTCTGCAACAATGTGTACAGCTAACAACTTTGCCACTTTGTAGACTAATGCTGACTGTTCATGTAGTGGTAGAAAATAAAATAACTACTGGAGACATTTCTTCAGTGTTGTTGGCATGTTATTATTCCTATCATGAACCACGCAGAGGCTGTTCATCTTCTTAAAAGCTTTAACAACTTGTTGAGTTCCCTCCTCAAATAAATATCCATCATACAGGAGGAAATATATAAAGCAGCATGCAGGAATCACAAGGTATTTGAAGACATTTAACAACTGAGGTATAGATAGGGAAAAGAATATGCTGTAAGTGGGCATGTATTCGACAATATACTAATTGTACATGAAATGTGCAAAACACAAACAAACAAAACAGATTCACAGCATGCCAGCAAACCAGTCACGTGATGCTTAGTCAATGCTTTTTTATCATTTATTTTATATAGCTAAAAAGAGAAGCACTGAGGAAGGAAAGGGCTGTTATCAACATAATTGACTGTGTTCACTGCAATACATAGAGTGGAATGACAGAAGACTATTTTGTAAAGGAAAATGTCACTGTTACTTTGGATAAGAGATTTTAAGAAACAGTCAGTTTATGATAACGCCTAGTATGTAGTGGACTACTGTTTTAAATGGAGTAGTACAATTAGTGCCAAAAGAAAGTTTAAGAGTCCACGTTCTCGTTTTCATATTTAAAGTAAAATACAACTGTCCAATATTTGCTTAGATTGGAACTTGTGGGCCCCAGACTTTCAAACATGCCTTTAAGTGATTTTAACCGGTAAGCTCGCTAGTAAGTGTTGCAGTGGGATGTTTAGAGCAGACATACACCGTATGCTACCTGGGCAGAGGCATTGTTCAGTACATTAAAATGTTAACTACATAGTTGTGTTGCATTTAATGTAGAAAGCTACGGTACAATACAGTAATAATAAAGCATTTACCCCACAACATATCACTCTTGTTTTGTCCTACCGGAGCTGGCCCGCTACTGCAATTAGTTGAATTTGTTGCAGCTGCGAGTAGCTCCTCGAGTTGCAATGCATTGTGGGACATCAACAACACCGTCAAAACATTGCATTTATTTTGACATTGAATTATACTTTAATAATTCACTTTTTGAATGTAGAGTCAGGAAATGGTGTTGCTGGTGTGACATGGTGTTGCTCCGTGGATAGTCAAAGACGCTCACTACTTTATAGCCTAATGTGATTTAGTAACGTTTTTATATGGTGTCTTTACTGACTAATTGTATTATATTATCTAAAGACAGGACTGGACATTCTTGGAGCAAGCTCATGACTTGTCTAACCAATTTAACAGTCCTGGGTCGCCATCCAGTGGCAAAATGTCGGAGGTGCTACAGGAACAGCCAAAAAAAAAGAGGGGTGGGGACAAATACAAATTCTAGGGAAGAAAATTCAAACACTCTTCCTGGAAATAGAAGAGAACCCGCCACAACTTCGCCACATGACATTTCAGAAAGAAAATGCGACACGACCCTTCTTGCAACGCACGCGATAGTGCATTTCATTGAATAAGCCGCTGTTCTATTCCTCCTCCAACCAGCACGTTATCAGGCCACGCGCTGTATATCACACCCACGGACACGATCCATTGCCTTTTTGTGCATTTAGAAATGTGTAACCGTCATCAACGCAAGGCGATTGCGACATCACCAACTCCAGACCTACCTTGTTCCCGTAAACTATTCCCTCTTTACCGTAAAAACGTGACATCACCATACATACAGTTATATATATAACATTTGGGAAAGCAGACTAAACAGCTGTCTGCAACACAGAAAGGAAACTTACCGCCTGTTCGTGCAAAGTTAGAGTATACAAATCACACAGTTTTTGGAATTATGTAATAGTCTGCCATCAAACCATCCTCTTAAAAATCACAGTATTTTGGCCTTCTGTTTTCATGACTGCTGTTACTGCTCTTAGTTTACCAGATAATGGCCTATAACTTAAGTGTCTCCTACAGTAATGCAAACTGTATTTGTGTTGTTATGTTGATCGCATCGTTTAAGTCATATTACAGGAGGAGGATAGTTCAGGTTGTTTTCAATGGAGTATTATTCGTTGCAATTAGATAACACATTCTCTGCAGCCTCACATGCCAGCATACGCCGGATAACAATATGCGTTATGCTTACCTTGTATGTGTAATCCAAAATCTGCTGGGGAGGTACCGTGCTGACTGTAGTGTAATAATGGAAAATCTGAAAATATCCATCTCCTTTCCCAGGCACGGATGACGCAGCCCCCTAAAAAGCCCTCTCCCAAAAAACATTAAATCCCCATTCAGCATCCATAACGCGTGTAGGTGCAAACGTCGACACGGGGAGCACTGTACACGCAAATAGATCACAGCCCCGGCTGAGGAAATGTTCAAGTGTTCGCCCATGGGCAAGGCATGACTGATGGACTCATCACTGATCTTGCATCTCTGCACAGTCATATCGCCTTTCTGAAAGATTGCACAGCTCGTTTCCTCCTCTGAAGACCATCTGGTAAAGAATAAATCGCCAGCTCCTGTAACCTCCAAAGCAGCAATGGGCACGGATCCCTAATCATCCAAAAACACAACTGATATCCGTTTTCGAGACAGGAATGGTCCACGGCGATTAGGGCAGGCAGTCCTGAAAGAAATTGCGCAGTTTATATTCCTCTGAAACGGAGACTCTTTCCCTTCTGTCCCCGTTGAGAGGCTCTTTCCCTTCCTCCTCCTCCCTCCTCTCTTTTTCTCTCTCTTCCCTCATGCAGGTTTCTTTTCGGTGGAAGAGTCTTGGACATTGCCTGCCCCGCCTCCATAGTCACTGGCAAACACACTGTACAACTCGCCCAAATTCCATTATTAACAACAATTCAATGGAGAACAACAAGACCCCAGTGTGTCCCTTTGTAAGTGTTTAGTTCAAGAGTCAAACTCCCTGTTGGAGGTAAAGGGGCCAAGAGCCACTTGGGGAATCAAAAGTTTTTCTTTGGAGATGTCTGGTAATCTTGTCAGGTTCCGGTCAATTCCCAAGAAAACGAAAACTAGGCCAAGAGCATGTTGGGAAATCAAATTAAAGCCTATGCCATTTAGCTCCCACACAGATGGCTCCTCAGGGTGCCTGATGCGTTATAAAGGGGTCCCCAATAAACTGCAGATTGATTTAATTTGACTGGTAATGCATTCAAAAGCACTCACTGTAATCTGATTAGACATTTCCCATGCGTTTTCTCTAATGTGACAGAACAAGTTCAAACATGTCTAGAGAACCGTTTTCCAGGGTTCTTATTACATGGGAAATGTTGGATTCCCTCATCAAAGATATTCAATAAATGTCTACACTTTTCCAACATTTTAGAAGCTGCTGTTTTACAGTTTCTGAGTGGATAAGCAGATGGAAGAAGTTGACTTCCAATGCCTTTAAGAAAAACATTACAGGAAACAAAAAGATTTGCTCCAAAATAACACATCATCTGAACACAGAGATGTTAGAAAAAGGAAAAACAATGCACAATGTTTAACTTTGAAAACTTTGGATAGTGTATTCCTCTAATCCAATTCAATTGTCAGACAGGAAGGTTAATAACCAGCGCATACCAAATATATATCTAGGTTGTTTCCACATCATATTTACATTCAAGTTAATTTCAGCTGCTTTAATCAGCTTTCATCCATAAAACACACCTCCGAAGTCTGATATCTTTGTAACCAGCATGCTTGAGAATTAGCCAATTGACATTTTTATTCAACATGTTGCTATGAGCCCCCCCTCCGGTTCCCACCCAACGAGAGACCACCAGTGTACACACAGAGACTTGGGTCTGATAAAGAAGCTCTTAAACCCAGAGGAAGTTCGTGTTTGGTCTTTCATGGGGACAATCCTTACGTCTGAATACAACCTTGAGCCCCCCCTCCTCTCTGGTTCCCCTCTCTCATTACGGGACCATTCTTCCCCCCGGCTCACTTTCTCCAGGGTCCTTCTCTTGTTTTTCTCCCCCTCCCTTTCAGGAGTTTGGGCTGAGTCCTTTTCCAGTGGGGAAGTCCGGGCCTTCTCTCTCACAACGCTGAGCGACTCCAAACGTCTTGTGGGAGGCTTCATTAGAATTCATTTGTTTGAAAAGGTTCATTTCTCCTCCAGTCTCTCCTTCCCTCTGTCTTGTTTTCAGGTTGGGGGGAGGCATGTTAGCATAAAAACATTCTTGACCTCACCTTGATTAACTGCGTGACAAATCTAATATTCACAAAAGGACATTCTTTTTTGATTTATGAATGTACCATTAAAATACTTTTGTTCATAAAAGATTCCAACTGATTTGTGTTTCCAGGTCTGTCTGGTGAGTTAGCCAGAACAGGATACAGTATATTATGGGCTTCATGAAAACATTGGGAATTCAGTGTATTTCCAAACAGAAGCACTTATTTCCAATGATGTAATTCAACTCATATTTTGAACATATTATCTACAGCCCAGGACTATCATCACACATTCCACAACAGCTAATCAGATTACTAGAGAATTCAATGAGAACAGCAGACAGTTAGATGACCAGACAGACACTTGATCCAGATGTTGCAATAAGCAAGTTTCCAGTGAAACACTTACCAGAAGGAGACTATTCCCTGTGTATGTGTGTGTGTGTGTGTGTGTGTGTGTGTGTGTGTGTGTGTGTGTCGTTTGTTGAGGTTTGAGCAGGGTAAAAAGGGGGTCAGTGTGGAAAGACTGATGCCGGTCTGTAAAGAGGCTGACAGACGAGACTAAAAAGGAAATGAAGATACAAAGAAGCCTTACCAGAATTGAGTCAGACCAACTTCAAAGTATCAAAGAATGACTCATTGTCAGAGGCCAGGTGTGGTGACCTGTTTCATAGAATGCAAAACATTTGAGAAGTAACACAGTGTTTTAATTTAAAATACATTTTGCAGTGTATTGAAGCCTTGAGTCCATTTCAATCCAGTAACAAACAGCTCTAACAATAAATAATATTCCTCAGTAAAAAATAGTCAGTGGTTGTGTGTGTGTGAGAGAGAGAGAGAGAGAGAGAGAGAGAGAGAGAGAGAGAGAGTGTGTGTGTGTGTGTGTGTGTGTGTGTGTGTGTGTGTGTGTGTGTGTGTTAAAGCATTTAGTTGTCCAGGCTCAAGAGTAGAGCAGTCCCTCTCTTGATCCAATGGTCCGGGGTCACAGCTCCAGATTTGAGTTCTATACCGACCACAAAAGAAGGCCGGCCTGATCCCCCCGAACGCACCGGGAAGTAGTAACACGGACACAGGTACACACCTGCACACACAAGAGAAACAGACAGAGTTGAGACCACAGTGCATGACATCACGGACTATATACAAAGAGATGGAGAAAATCAGAACTGATGATGAATAGTGCAGAAATACCCCCCAAAAGTCCCAAACTACTCACCCTTGGCCGCCTTCTTGCGGTTCTCCACAGGCTTGAAGTGGATGGTTGGGATGGGGCAGACCATCTGCATGGGCTCAGCCTCCACCAGACAGGAGTTCCTCTTGTCCCAACCAGCCCCCTCCAAGAACAAACCTCGGACAAATACTCCATCCTGTAGGGGGAGGCAGGGAGTGAGTAGGGAAACAAGGGAGAAAAGGGAGGGGGGAATCATGAAGTATAAGGTGAGATATTAACACTTGGTTGGAGGTCACATTTCGTAAACAATGTTTATGACACACAGTCATGCCAATTAGTTAATGTAAAGTGGGAGGGGTGAAAACAAAGGAAAGATAAAGGCTGCAGGGGAGAGGAAGGAAAGAGGAGAGAGGGAAGAGCAGGGAGGAAAGGGAAGAGAACAAAATGAGATTGGTGAAAAACACAGAGTGGGAAGCAGTAGGTCATGAGAGGGAGAGTGAAGTAAGAGAACTGCCAAAGAGAAAGATGGAGGGAAGGAGGGGGAAGAGAGACAGGACACAAGAAGAAGGAGGGGAAGAGAAGAACAAACAAGGAAAGATAAGCTCTGACATAAGTCAAGAGTCAGAGAGCTTAAAAGAAGCAAGAAGGAAGCAGGAAGAATGAAACAAGATGAAGTGAGTGAGAAAAAAAGAGCTACAATGACAGACATTCTGAGGGGGGAGCAACAAGACCAATTAAACATCGTCTCACAGAGTCAAAGTGCTTTGTAAGAGAATCCAAATGGAAGAGCAGGTTTGAGGATAAGCTTTGAATGATAATGCGCTTTTCAGGAAAAAAGAGTCAATGTTTGAGTGGAAATGAAAAATGTGATGAAAAGTGCCGATGACAGATGAAAGCTAATGACTCTGAACAAAAGTGGTCTGATGGTAAGTGTATGGAAATCTTTATGGAAATAGAAGTGTGTGTGGAGGGAGTCACCTTGGGCGGGTAGAGGAGGTTGCTGTTGTCCACAGTGGACACGGTGAACTCCCAAGACAGCGTGTCCACTGATATCTGAAACACCAGAGGGACAAGAGTTTATTAACAAGGCAAGAAGGACATTTCCATTCATTGCAAGCAGAGACATATTTAAATAGTACTAAACAGTAAGTGTTAATGCATGCATGTTAAATATATATTGCTTGAGGCAGCTAATGTGCAGTTAAGTGCAGTGGTTGTTGGCTGTGAGATGCTGAGAGGCTGAGATGAATGTATGGACTCAACAGAGCGAGAGAAAGGGGAACTCAGCAGGTGCTTTATGCCAAAGCAGCACAGGGGGAGAGTGCAATGTGTTTCCCAGGCTTTTTTTCTGTGTATTATGTGTGCTAGGAACATTAAACAGAACTTAAACTATATTTAACATCTTGTAGTTTTGATAATTGTTTCACAGTTTAAGCTTCTGTACACATATGTCGTTCACATATTTCCTAATGTAGTGAGACTGTCTTCCTGCCTATGTGGATGCGGGTGTGTGAACTCTCACGTTGTGCTGTCGAGCAGAGGACTGCAGCACAGCGGTGAGGAAACCGTTGGGAAAGGTGAAGGCGGAGAGCCAGAACAGGGTGGGGGGCTGGGCCGTCAGTGCCCACTGTGCAAACTGATTGACTCGCTGGCAAAGATCCCGGGTCCACGCTGCCAGGGGCTTCAGTGAGGGGTACGCCTGGTGGACAGAGAGAGAGAGGAGGGAGGGAGGGAGGGGAGAGAGAGAGAGAGAGAGAGGGAGGGAGATAGAGAGAGAGAGAGAGAGAGAGAGAGCTAGATATAGAGAT